GAAACATATATAGTCCTTCTTATACAACTTATATCATCTATTCTTATACTTATTTCAGTACATGGTTCCTATTTGATACACTATTTATTTTTATCTTTATTCTCATTTAATAATATAATTCCATTATACTAGTTTACCCACAAAGTATATTCTCACAGTACGATCATAATTATTCTATTCATATAATCCTATAGTCCACTACCTTATTACATATACATATACTTATAGAGTTCACAACATTTCTCCTGTAATTACTTTTAACATATCATATAAGTTCATTATATTCTCTTATATTCCAACATATCTAACAAACATAATTTCATATAGATAATATAACATATGCAATACATGCAACCAATGCACTCATATCCAAGTACACAATTACATAACAATCATATCAAGTTTATTTCTATTATCTCTTTATTATCCCATGTACACATGTGATAACTAAATATATGCGAGTACTTTGAGGTTGTGCACACATATGTTGTCACCACAACTCGTATAAGAATCCACTGAGTGGCATGTGAAAACTATGTCCCGAAGGACCTATCCATATGTCCCGAAGGACATAGGTAACATGTCCATATACCCGAAGGAAATAGGTAACCCTCGACTCTTGGCATGCCAACTATACCTCTAGCTCTCATGACACATAGCATAGGCATTAACACTTATATCATATCACATATTCATACTTTCATATCACATATCTCTTATCATATATCTTATCTCTTGTGATCATGTAATCACATAACTTTGTATCACATAGCTCATGTTATTTCTTATGAAATCATTTATATCATGTAGTACATATAACTCATATACTTTCTTACATGTTCACATAGGTTATATCATATTGCTCTTATCTTTTCATATAGTTTATGTTTTATTCTCTTATATTCACATAATTCACATACATATAATACATACCAGTCATGTTCACACAAATCATATGACATACAACACATACATCATATCAAACATATGCTCATATTAGTGAATTCATGCATTCTACTATAGGAAATAGACTTGCCACAAGTCTTACTTCCATTAAACATCATATACTATCTAATATGCACTCACCTGGCCTCACTAGTCAATACCGTTCTCTTATCTTTTCCTCGATACCTAATATTTGTCAACTTGTCCAGACGTTGCTCTCGATCGATATCTACATAATCATGTATACATATCAACATTCCAAATACTATAATTCGATCCTTAATTTCTTAAGATAGAAGAAAGGTTTAATTTTCTTTTCTACTTGAAGTAGTATCGGTACCACTTAGGGTATCAATACTTCCTAACTATGGTATCGATACCAAGCCTGGGTATCTATACCCTTTTTGCATTCAAAATTCTTATTTCCAAAAATGGTACCAATATTGTCCTTCTAGGTATCGATATCCCCTTGAATGCCTTTATCAAATTTAGAATTGTGGTATAGATACTATTTCGCATGGTATCGATACCCCTATACCCAATATCGCTATTTTACTCTTGAAGTATCAGTACTAGATGAAGCAGTACCAATACCCCATGCCCAGAATTTATCTTTTTATCTCGAAATTCACCCAAACTTACTTATATCTTATACTAGAACCTCTTTTAAGTCCTTTAAGCTTAACTATACTTTTTCTAATCAACTTAGATTACTTTAACTTATTTTAATATCCAATATCCCACAATCATGCCTGAATTCAATAATTAAACCAATAATTCAATATGTTCCAAATTTATTTATAACACTCCGTATTTCTTAGTAAGATCCTTGACAAGTCAAATTTCACTTTAAAACTTATTTCCTAACCCTATGTTAATAATTCCCTTAAAAACTCTTTACCTTTAATCTTAAATAACTTAATCCTTTTTTAGTTTTAAGCAATCTTAAGTTTTCTTAAGCTTTTCTATCACTCCAAAAATCAAAAACAACTTTAAAACGAAATAATTAACTAACTTTAGACCAACTTACCATAACAATGGTCACTCACGGCTAGAGAAGAAGATGAAGAGTTTTTGGAGAAATCTCCTTTTTTTTCCTACCCATTCCACGTGTTATATATCCCATAAAAGAAAGATAAAAAAATTTCTTATGAAAAGACTAATTTACCCTTTACTTCATTTAATATTTACTAACAATCCTTCACAAATTATTTCTAAATAAGTCCCTAAACTTTTCAATCTTTTGAAATCATACCTCAAAGTTTCAAAACTTTATTTAATCACTAGCCCTGATTTTGGGATGTTACAATGTTTTTGTTTGAATGAATTATTTGATATTTTCCATGTTTAAATGATTGCTTTATTCATTGTTTAAACGCTTAGATTTGTAAGAGCTTTCGAGAGTTAGTCATTATCTATTTTTAATGCTTAATATTGAGAGAGTTAGGCTTAGATCAATGTGAACAATGGGGTTAAGCTGGGAAACAAAGCCCTAATTTGTTTTAGAGATAAGGAAAGGGTTTCAACGACTAAAACATGAAAGACTTAATTGATAATATTATGTTGTTGTTTATGATAAGAGGTATTGTTGTAGCATTTTCACTATTAGGTTCCTTACTAGAGATAGTCTAGGAACATTTTAGCAAACTCTGTCGAGTAGTGTACTCATAGAAGATGTGAACCATATTAGACACAAAACATAGGAATCCTCAGTAAACGCAACTATTTATTTTTCTTGTAGCTTGTTTGTGAGAGGTTGTTAAGTTATCTTATTTCATACCCCGATTCTCAACTTAATTTTGCCATAGTATTTCCTTTACTTTACCTCACCTTTTTGATATAGCATTTCACACACACTTAAATACTTTGCCACAACATACACATTCATTTGTTCATACCATTTATACTTCATTGTTTATAGTTTAAATGCATTAGCTTTACTCGAAGTCCCTCCAATCCTTGTGGAGATGATACTCACTCACTACTATATTACTTGTTCGATGTGTATACTTTCATAGATTGCATATCAAATACAATACACTCACACATACAACAATATACTTTTTCATACCCGATGTGATAAGATTTGTTAAAGATAATTATATTCTCTTTCACATTTAAAGGTGCTAGACTTTGAATATAACAATCTATTTCTTTGTATCCGAGGAGATAGACTTCGAAAATGATAATGATTTGTTCCTCTTCACTTGAGGACACATGATTATGAGATAGTAGCTCATTCAACATGAGGTAAAGAGATTTTAGTTTGTTCCTACTGCTTAAGGTAATGATACTTTGAAAAATAATTGGTTCCTCCAGCTTGATGCATTCAAACTTCGAAAAGAAAATTGATCTTTCAACTTGAAGCGGTGAACTTGCTCCTCTAATTGAAATGTTGAAACATTAAAAAAAAGTAAATTGCTCATTCAAATTGAGTCGATGACACTTTTGAAAAAATAAATTGTCCCTTCAACTTGAGAAAAATAAAACTTTTTGGAAAATAAATGGCTTATTCAACTTGAGGTAATGACACTTTGTAAAGATAAATTACTCCTCAAACTTGACAATTTTATCATATCAAAGCTTCAAATGAATTCAGCACAATGTACCTAAAACAATACACTTGTCTTAAATAAATTATTTTCTTCGGTTCGTGCTCAATAACTTAGAAGGGTTTAACGTGCGATAACACGATTAAAAAAATTATTTTAAAAACATGATATGTTAAATATGAAAACTACATTTTTTTTCTTAAATGAATGAACATATATCAATTATTTTTGTTAAAATTTAACTCGAATTTTAAGTGACACAATTTAATTGGGAAAGTAATAAACCTAGTTTGATTAAAAGTAGAGAACTTTATTAAAGTATCTACGTGAAATCGTTGTTGGATCGTAACACTAGATTAATGCTACGGAAGGTAGATGTACAAAAATTTATAAGAGCTCTCTTATTTTGATGAAAGAGAGGTGAAAGACTATAACATTTTATATTTTATAGGGTTCAACAATTATAAAAGATGAACTATTATTTTTTTCCCTTTGTGACAAAGGATGATTTTGTGTTGAATAAAATAACCATGGACATAATGGTTTTGGGAGTAGAAAAGTGTTCTATTCCGTGGGCATAACGGATTTGAGAAGAAAAAAAGAGAGTTCATTTTCGTGGGCATAATAGATTTGAGAAGAATAAAATTTAGTGTTGTGAGCATAATTAAAAAGGTTGAATTGTTATTGATGATCAGGATAATGTTATGCATGATATTGCTTGTAGTTAAGAAGTGGCGAGTAAAGTTAGCACTTATGATTTCTTTACCAATGTGAATACTAAATCGAAGTTTTGACAAGCTTTGGATTCAATTGACAGTCATTGTTAAAGAATAACCCTCAAATGAGTTTTGTGGAAAAAATGGAGAATAAGTTCTCAAGGTGGAAAATTCGTTCGTTGAAGTCAATAATTATTTTTGTTGAGTTTAGGTGCCTAGTCAAATTTGGATGTTTTGTCTCGAATACTTTACATTTTTAGAATTCGTGTCAAGGTGAATATTTGTTAAAGTTTGACTCGAATTCAAAGTAACACAATTTAATTGAGAAAGTAAAAAACATAATTTGATTAAAAACAGCGAGTTTTATTAAAATATGTTTTTATAAAGTAACTTTTTACTTTTTTTTAGTTCCATTTGTAATCAAATATCTATATTTATAAATAGATACTAAGGATTATTATTAGAGGTTAGGTTGTCCGAGAAATCATCTTTTTATTTTTCTTTTATTGACATTAGTGAATCTTCTCTCCTTTTGCCCATAATTTTTCTCAAAATGATTTTTCACATAATATTTGTATATCTATATACACTTTCCCTAAATGTATTGCTATATACATAGTTATGTAATGTAATTTTCTCGATAACTTTTTGTGTAATATTTCTTCGATTTTATATCAGGATATTATGCCAATTCGATGGATATATTAAATGATTAAGAACTACATGTGTAAGATAAACCTCATGATTGGAGTTTTTTTGGTACAAACGACTGTATAATAGCCAAAACTCCTAATATCCATCTTCCTTCAGCATCTTTCCTCAGAATCGATAATATTTCTCTCGGTGGTTCTGTAAGTATTTGGAGATCGTCCCCTCTTATCAGAGCTAAATTTGCAAGGCGATCGGCGCATCTGTTTCCCTGACGCCAGGTGTGTCTTATTTCATTTACCCACCCTTCTTTACACATATTTTTGCATTATCTGATGAGGGCCTCTTGGTCTTCTTCCACACGATCTCTATTCAGCTCCTCCACAATTTCTTTTGCATCGAGTTCCACGATGATTTTTTATCACTTCTAGCTCTTTTGCAAGTAACAATCCTTGTTTATCAGCCCAAATCTCCACGATGTAGCTGTTTGTCTGACCAATTTTCATTAGGAATCCACATTTGCAGTTGCAATTGTTGTCTTGGATGTGGCCACCGCTGTTGCTTTTCTGGTGTTTCCCCTACAGACGTCATCTGTGTTGAGTATCCAGGAGTCTTCCAGTGGTCTTCTCCATTTGGCTCATCTTGGTTCCTCGGTAATCCTTCATTTACTGATTTCCATTACTATATCTATATCCCTTGCGAACTTTTTATTGTATTGTCTGATGTTGGGTTCCTGATTTTATTTTTAAACACATCATCGTTTCTGCTCTTCCATAGACCCCAAATTGTAGTCGCGAACAAGGTTCCCCAAAATGTTTCCATCTTCATTCTTCCTTCTCGAGTTACAGTTCGCTCTTAACCATTCCACAAATTCTCTAGTCTCAAACTTATTGCCGAAGCGTTTAACCTTTAAATCCTCCCAAACCGTTCTTGCTATTTTGCATTCCCTTATAATATGGTTAATTGATTCGATATAATTTGGACATTCCTTACAATTATTCTCTTAGGTAATTTTCTTCTTCAATCTAATCTCGTTTGTATTTAGTTTATCCAAAACACCTAACCAGATGAAGAATCTGATCCATTATGTCATTTTTGTTCTCCAAATGTAATCAAAATTTTGCTCAGTTGTGTCTATAATTCCCCTATTTAAGATGGCTTGTAAGCAAATTTTGCAGTGAACATGCCATTTTTAGAGTGACCCCAAATTATTTTATCCTGGTCATCTTCCGAGATAGGTACTAGAATTGGAACCCTAAGGATTTGATTTACCGTTTCTACAGGAAGGTAGTTTTGTAATTCTTGGATATTCCAAGTTTTGTCTTCATTTAGGTAGTTTGTGACCTTTTCTTCTCTATTGTTGATATCATGTGCTGGGAAAATGTCGATTAATGAACCATCTCCAATCCACAAACTTTTCCAAAACATTGTCTGTTCTCCATAGCGGATAGTATGTTTTGCTGCTTCCTTAACCAAATCCCGAGTCTTTAAAATGTTCTTCCATGTGGATGAGTTGTAAGTTTGTGGTTTAGCTTTGTTTCAAGTATTTTCCAGCAAATGTTTTGCACTAGATTGAGTCCTGTTGTGTATAGATCTTCCAGCCATTTCTTGCCATCAACGCTAAATTCATCATTTTCGCCTTACGAAAACCTAATCCCCCCGTCTGTTTTGGTCTGAAAAATATATTCCAGCTAACCAGATGATTATGAGCATATTCAATTGCTCCTTTCCATAGAATCCATAGAAAGTTTTTTTTTGATAGAAATTGAAGGCCTCGTTAAAACCCCCCTTCTTGATTGAAGGAGCTTGTATAGAAGCTCCTTAATCAGCGGAAGGAGGAAAAGAGTGCCTTAAGATTTCATTAACGAAAAGAAATTACATAAGATACAACCAGATAAACACCCCATCATAACCAAAAAACCAAAAAAACAACCGAAGACAACCCTATACAACAGAACTAGCTCAGCCTAAACCATCTAAGCTACTAACACAGTCTAAATTTTGGCTGAGCTGTTAACCAATCTGCAACAGCAATGAAGACTTAACGCCTAAACATTTCCTGGAATATAACAGAAAACAGTACAACCAAATGCCTGAAACAATCAAACAATCCCCTCCTAAGCTAACTTGTCTGCCTCCATATTACAAGACCTAGGAAAAAGCTCCAGCAAAGTTGGAGGGCCTGGATCTATAGATACTATGAAAGAACCCATCATCTTGCCAACCTCAATATCAACTGACTCATTCCATAGAAACCAAATTCTAACACAAAAGTCATGAGCTTCCACACTATAAAAGTACAAAATGCTAGCTTCGAAATCACTCTATCCGCCTTTCTACCACTTATTGCTCGTCTTGTCATTGGAGACCATCCGAACCTCCAACTTCGTTCAATAATCAAATGCGAATCACCTGAAGCTTCTAATTCTTCCACTGCTATAGTTTTCCGAAATCAAAAACACTTGCGAGCCTTCAAGTTCAGTCCATTCTTCCTCTCGTTGCAACTTCTTCTGATTAATCTTGCTTCGGCAGAATCTAGTCTTCCTATGAGGAGCCAAATATTTCTCATCAATTATTTGGAGAGAGCTATATTTATTGTTAATCCCCTCAGCTCTCTGGTTCTGCTTGGAATTGTGCGAGAAAGAAACGTCCCTCAATTGTGTTGACAAACCAAGGCTCTGGTCCAAATCCTCACATACTATCCTCGATTTGGGTTTTCCAACCACCCGTTCAACCGCAACCCCATCCTTTTGGACTTCCTCTCCCTTGGATCTTATGATAGCACAATTATTTGTAAGGCCCATATTAATCACATCCTCTACCTCCTTTGACTTTAAACGACCATCCAAGATGGGCAAATCTATTAAATTATCCTTTATCCCCTCATTAACACGTGCAGTCTTACAAAATTTCCTGTTGTTATCTTCTGTCTCTCTCACCACGTGATCCAGCACTACCTCGTGTTCCACCGCTTCCATCTCTTCCTCGTGTTTTTTTGCATGTCTTGGCTGGCAGTAGAGTTTTCTGCATCGTGTGTACAAGAATAACTGAGGTAACAAATTGAACTAAAGTTCTTCGGCCCGCCATTTGACAAAACTCTTCCTTTCCATCCCATCAATCTTTTCAGAGCCTTCTTAATAAGTGGAGAGTAAGTGTTGTAATTGCTTCTTTTTGTGAATAATTGGGACTCCGAATTATATCCCCAAGTCTTTCATAATCAGAATTTCGCTTAATTCACTTAGGTCTTTGGCAGCATCCTCGTTGATGTTGGGAGATATAAACATCTTTGATTTCTATAGGTTGACCTCAGGTCTGGATGCTTGGCTGAATTCCTTCAAACAATTTCTAACACGATTAACTTGCTCAACTTTTACCTCGGGAAAAAGTAATAGATCACCCGCGGAAAAAAAAGTGGTTGAATTTGATATTTCCTCTAGAAAGTTTTATTGCATTCCAAATCTCGCGTTCCTATTTTTCCAAAATCATATGTGAGAGTCTTTCCATAACCAAGTTAAATAAATAGGATGATAAGGGATCTCCCTATTTAAGTCCTTGTTTCGGCACAAAGCTTTCCGTTGTTTCTCCATTCCATAGAGTTTTGATCGAACTTGATCTCACATAGAACATTATTATTGCAATTGTCTCACCTGGAAAATCGAAATCTTTAAGAGTTTTAAGTAGGAAACTCTAATTTACTTTGTCATAGGCTTTCTGCATATCAATCTTAAGGATTATTGCACCTTTTTTGCCTTTCAAATTTGTTAATGAGTGACAGCTTCCTGTACTATTAGAATGTTATCTGCTGAATTCCTGCATGCCAAAAACTATTTTGGTAAGAGCCAACAACCTTTTGCAGAATTGGTCCCAAACGTTGCACAAGGGTTTTCAAAAGAATTTTGTAAGATGTGTTAAATAGACTTATAGAACGAAATAAAGAAATTTTATCAGCTATATTAGTTTTCGGAATAAAAACCATATAAATTTGAAGGATATTTAGGTCGATTGCTGCCGAGTGCATAGCTGAAACTATTAACTTCATCACAATAAATCTAACCGTCTCCCAATTCCTTTTGTAAAATATTGGTTGGATTCCATCAAGGCCCTTCATCGATGAGAGGGCATCACAAATCTCTTCCATAGTCACCTCCATCGTTAAATTTCTTTTGTAATCCTCGTTGAGCCTTGGTGTAAGGTTATCGTAATTTCCGTTTAGACCAGTAACCTCTCTACTGTTAAATAGATCCTTATAGTGCTCTACTACATGTTTGCAAAGGTCCTCTTTGTTAGTGCACCAGTTTTCTCCCACCCAAAGACCCAACACTTTATTTCGTCTTCTTCGGATGAGAGTCATGAGATGAAAAAATCTTGTGTTTCTTTCTCCTTTTAGGATCTAGTCCAACCTCAATTTTTGAAGTCAGAGTAATTCTTCTTGGGCAAACACATTTTGGTTATCTTCATTAAGTGTTTTCTTTAACTCCTGAAGGTAATTCGAATGGATGTAGTTTTTAGAGTTTTGGATTCCTTTTAAATGATTTAGTAATGTCCTCCTACGTTTAAAAATATCCCCCACGACATCCTTTTTCCACTCTTTAATGTCTTTTGTAATCTCAGACACCGCTTCAATCAGACTATCTTTTTCCTATTCAACGCATTGTTGAACACCATTTGAAAATCCTGATGATTTAGCCAAATAGCCTCAAAGTGAAATGGTCTATTCTTCTTGTCCATCATATAGTTCAAGTTCATATTAACCAGAATTGGGTTGTGGTTAGAATATCTTCTAGTGAGATTGATGGTTTGAATATTTGGGAAGAGAGTTATAAAATCTGCATTGTGAAGCGCTCTGTCAAGACGTTTTTGTAGAGTCACACGGCCATGAAATTTTCTTTCCCAGGTAAAATTGTTTCCCATATAGCATGTATCCATCAATTTACATCTATCCCATGAATCTTTAAATTGAATAATACGGTCCAAGCAATTCGAATTACATCCCTCCCTTTCTTCGAGAGATGCAAAATCGTTAAAATCGCCATAACAACCCACAACTTTTTATTTAAGATGGAATATCTATGCATATCCTCCCAAAATCTCTTTTCTTGACTGTATTGGTTGAACATAGATGAATGAGTTTAGCCAAGTTTTTTCTCCTTCAGCAATTTCACAGTGGGGCTTGATCTGAGGCATGAAAAATTTTCACATCAAGTTATGTTAACTTCCAAAGGCTACACAACAACTAAAGTGCAAACCTAACAAAATTTTGGTTTATGATACGAAAGTTTTAAACATGAGTGAGAAAGTTAGAGAGAGAGTGAGTGAGAAGTCGTTTGGAAGTGCTTCTTCAGACAAGAATATATCAGGGCCTGGAGGAGTTTTTTGGGTTGCTTTCGTGGATAACCTTAGTAGGAATGTGACTAGAAGCGCGTTATGGGATCGTTTTAGTCGTCAGAGCAAAGTGATTAAGGTGTTCATTCCGTTAGTGAATAAGAGATCAAATTATAAGTATTGTACGTTTGCTTTTGTACATTTTGCCAGCAGAGAAGACCTGCTTTATGCTACGGACAGGATGAACAATGTTTTAATTGATGGAAGGAAGATTTCGGTATCGATTGCGAAGTATCAAAGGAAGAGTAACCAGAGGAGTTCGGTGCACAATAGAGTGGTGGGGGTTAGGGGTGATGGATCGGAGGAGCAGAATGGAAGAAGTGCAAAAACTCGATTTAAAGATGGGGAGATAAGATCGGTATCCATAGCTGACGATGGAGGGAAGAGGAAGGGAAGAGGAAGCAGATGAGTAGTTTCTATGATGGGAGATCATACAAGGATACGGTTGTGGGTTTGGAATTAATGGAGAATCAGAAAGTGAGTAGGAATGGAGAAAAGAGGGAAGAGAAGAAGTCTTTGCAAGTATTTGTTCCTGTAGAGGATAGGACATGGCTGAGATCGTCATTAATAGGCATTTGTAAACCAGTCTTTGAAGTTGATTTCGTGCAAAGGGCTCTAAGAACGGAAGGAATCAATGTCAAGGTGATTCGGTGGGGTTACGCAAAAGGCTCTTGTTTAGTAGTTTTCCAAACAATCGAAGAAAAAGTTGCAATGATGAAAGGAAAGTGGGAGACTTTATCCTTCTGGTTCGAAAGGTTGGAGCCTGTTCTAGACGAGAATGGTATGCCACTAACGTACTGTGAAGTTTCCTTGATGGGGGTTCCTCTGAATTGCTGGTCAGACTCATTTTTTACAATGTTAGCTTCGAAATGGGGAAAGCTTGTGAAGATTAAGGATCAAACACTTCATCGAGTGGATTGCAGGGTGGCACATATGCTGTTAAGGGTGGAAAGTCCGTTTGATATTCCACCTCAGGTTACGGTTAACACTTTAGGTAGAGCGTTCTGTATTAAGATAAAGGTGGATGGTAGTGATGATTTTTTCCCGGTTCTAGATGATGCAGACGACGGGGTTGGAACAGTGAATCAGGGGGAGGACAGCTCGTCGAGCAGGAACCAAGAGGCGGAGGTAATTCGTCAGTATGGGCATACGGGATTACAGGTGATGTCAGACCCTTAGAATAGTGTAGAAGAGTGGGGTAGGGATGTTTCAAATGTGGGTGGCATGTGTGTCATTGGGAGTGCGAGAGAAAAAACAGTTTTAAATAGTCTCAGGGATGCTAAGTTGTGTTCAGAGGAAACAATACCTGGTGGAGTTCCAGGTCAGAAAGGTGTGTCGGAAGTATGTATGGATGGGAGAGAAAGGAATCTAAACTTGGGGGTTCTCGCTTTGGGACTTGGAAATGTTGACCAAGATATTGGGGTATCGGTAAATGTGGATTTGGCAGAAGCTAGTGGGAGGCCAGTTGTATGTGAGGAAACTTTAATACAAAGTGGGAAGCATGTGCGTTTGGAAGTGGAGGATTCAAACTTCTCGGCTGAGAATGCAGTTTTGGCCTTCACCGGAGATACTCAGATGAATGAGGAGATTGTTAATGAACGGGAAGATGATCTGATTCAGAGGATGTATGTTGGACAGAGTAGTGGGGTTAGGAATCATGTTTTCAAAAAAGTAAGCAAGGGAAACCAGCAGTTGGGGGATAAAAATGAGGTACAAAGGGATTCTGTTGTGAACCAAGGTGGGATCAGTTCTTTGTTACCTATGGTGGATAAAGGTAAATCAGTGGGAAATATGGGGATTTGTTTTAAAAACTCGGTCCAGTTTCTTTCTCGCCCAAGAGGCATTGCTAATCATAGGAAATTAAGGATTGCTTCAAGTAGGTCTGGAAGTGATTGCTCGGAGAGTGAATTCTCTGTTAGTTTTCACGAAAGAGTGTATACAAGGGTGGAAAGGGGTTTGGTCAGGGATGTTCTGGATCAGGACACGGCTAATTCAGAGTATCCTAAACTTGCAGATAGTGCTAGAATTGAAGCCGCGGCCACCAGGGAGATTTGTGACATGTTGGGAGTTTCTTTTAAAGGGGGGCAACACGTTTTGGAAGAAGAAATTTTGAAGATGGAGTTGAAAGGCTCTTCTTTTTGAGGGATTTTAAGATTTTTTAATGTCAAATCTTAAAATTATTTCTTGGAATATAAGGGGTTTAGGGAAAAGGGAGAAAAGGAGAGCAGTGTTCAGATTGGTAAAACAATTAAAACCGACCGTTCTGCTCTTACAGGAGACGAAACTTTGTAATTGTGTGAATGGGTTATTGAGGAATTTAGGGGGTTTCCGTTTGAAGGGTGGCTCTTTTCAACCAGCAGAGGGGTCTGCAGGAGGCTTGTTGTGTTTGTGGAATGAGAATGTGTTTGAAGTGTCTAGTATTGTTAAACAGTTCAGGTTTGTGGCGTTATTAGGAAAATTCAAGGTGTCTAGTTTCGAGTGTGCAATTATAAACATTTATAGTCTGGCAGTTGAGGTTGAGAAAGAGGCGTTCTTTTCGGAACTGCTGAGTTTTGTTCAAAGCATTAATGTGCCTATATGCATCGGGGGAGACTTCAATGCATATCTTGCTCAAGACGAGAAATGTGGAGATTCTCAGAACTGGCATTAAATGGAGCTGTTCAGGTTTTTTGTGCAGCAATCTAATCTTATTGATCTTCCTCTTTTAGGAGGCAGCTTTACTTGGTGTAGCAATAAGGAAGTTTCAACTTGGGTTAGACTTGATCGGTTTTTAGTCAGTGGCTGTTTCTTACGTGGCTTTCCTAAACTGGTACAAAAAATGCTTTCTAAGTCACTCTCGGATCATAACCCGGTGCTGTTGGATGAAGACTGCATTAATTGGGGCCCTAAACCTTTTAGGTTTTTTAACTACATGTTAGAGGAAGAGGGTTTTGTTGACGCTATTCAGAAGTCTATTGCAGAGTGTAGTATGATCAGAGGGAGAAGGGGAATTTTTAGTATTTTACAAGGTACGAAACAGATGATTAGGAGGTGGCCTAATAGAAGTCATTTGGGAATTTCAGAAGCAATTACAGACGTTGAAAGCAGAATTAATGAGTTGGAATTGAAGGCCCAAGTCTCGGGGTTCTCTTCGCTTGAATGGGATCAACTTTTGCTTTTCAGGAAGGAGATGTGGAAATTACATAGGGTTGAAGAGAGTATTTGGTTCCAAAAGTCGAGGGTGAAATGGTTCAAAGATGGAGATAGAAATACTCGGTTTTTTCATTTATGTGCGTTGAACAGGAACAGAATTAACAATATTTCTGCTTTGAAGGTGGCGGGTGAGGTGCTGACTGATCCCGAAAGAATTAAGTCCATTGTTTCAGATTATTTCAAGAAATTTTATAATTTGAAGGATACACTGGAAGTCGAAGACATGCAATTTTCCTTTTCTAATCTCAGTGTGGATCAAAGGAACAGCCTGGAAGTTAAGTTTTCTGAGCAGGAGGTTAGGGAAGCAATTTTTTCTTCGGACAGTGCCAAAGCACCTGGGCTGGATGGTTTCTCGATGGTGTTCTTTAAGAAATTCTGGCCTATTTTAAAGGAGAAAATTATGAGGTTTGCGGAGGACTTCTATGGTGGAAGGAGATGAGATCATGGGGTTAACCATTCTTTTATCACTTTGATCCCGAAGAAGAGTAATCCGGCTACCATCGAAGATTTCAGACCTATAAGTCTGGTGGGTAGTCTTTATAAAATAATCTCTAAAGTTCTATCTAAGAGACTTGTTTCAGTCATCAAGGATATTGTCAGTCCTTCCCAGTTTGCGTTTATTCCGGAGAGGCAGTTGCTAGATTGTGCCTTTCTTGCGAATGAAGGCATTAACTTTTGGAGAAAGCAAGGGTTGAGAGGGGTAGTTTTTAAAGTTGATTTTAAGCGAGCGTATGATTCTATAGAATGGCCGATTCTTCTAAGATTATTGAGAGTCATGGGATTTGGTGAGCGTTGGGTTTCATGGATAGAGTTGTGTCTTTCTTCGGCTTCAATCTCGGTTCTGTTGAATGGCTCTCCAACAGAGGAATTTTCCATGGCTAAAGGACTTCGACAAGGATGCAGTTTATCTCTTTTGTTCAATATTGTTGGAGAACTCCTGAACCTTATGTTGATTAAAGCCTCCAAGTTGGGTCTCTTCCAAGGGTTTTCGATTGGGAGTACAGACCCATTCATTCTAACACACCTTCAGTTTGCCGATGATCTAATCCTGTTCTGTCGAGATTCTGTCACTCAAATTTTAAATATTAGGAGAGTTCTGAGGATCTTCAGTTTAATGACGGTGCTACACCTGAATCTTTCAAAAAGCCATCTTTATGGCATTAATTTGAAAAATGTCATCTTAAATGATTGGGCTGCAAGGGCTGGTTGTGCGGTAGGTTCTTTTCCCTCGGTGTACCTAGGCCTTCCGCTAGGTGCCAAGAGTAATTCGGAGGCCATTTGGGATCCGGTTATTCAGAAATTCCATTCGAAATTATCTGGTTGGAAAGCTTTTGCTTTGTCTATGGCGGGTAGAGTGGTGCTGCTTAAGTCGGTTCTGTCCTCGCTCCCGATTTTCTTTCTATCTCTGTTCAAAATGCCGTTTAAGGTGAATAAGAGGATTCAGACTATAATGGCCAGATTTCTCTGGGGGGAGAGTAGTACACACAATCGTATTCACTGGGTGAGCTGGAATAAAGTTTGTCAACCCCTGGAAGTGGTGGATATGAATTTTTTAAACAGGGCGCTGCTTGGTAAATGGGTCTGGAAGTTTGGGAACGAGAAAGATTCTTTTTGGAAAAGAATGATCTGCAGTAAGCACAATGTAAGTAATCTGTCCCTCTCTATTGGCAGTGTAGCTTCTCCTATGGACTCGTGGATTTGGAAAGGTATAGTTAACAATTTTATGAAAAATGATGAAGTGGGCAACGTGTTGAGAGCTCATGCCAAGATTCAAGTTGGTAATGGCAAGTCAGTTTCTTTCTGGAATGATATTTGGGTGAATGATGGCAAGTCAGAGTTTGGCAGTTTTGTGAATAACGGCTGGGTCTGGAACATCCAATCTAGGCGTAACTTATGTGATTGGAGTTAGACCATTGGATTCAACTTATGTCGCTGCTCGATAACATTAGTTTGTCCGACTCTGTGGATGATTTCCTTAAGTGGTCAGGGAAGGGTGACGGTCTGTTCTCGATTAAGGCCTGTAGGATGACTCTTTCCCTTAAGTCGGGAGGATCGTTTAATTGGTGTAAGGATGTTTGGTCTGGTCTCGCTCCTCCCAGAGTCGAGACGTTTCTGTGGCAGGTTTCCCATCAAAAACTGGCAGTCAGATCGGAGTTGAAGAGAAGGGGTGTTGTTTTGGAGTCAATTCTTTGTCCGTTATGTTTGAAACAGGAAGAA